TGCGGAATTCCCTCGGGCTTCGCCTCGGGTTTCCGCAAACCTGCCTCGGGTTACGGGGCCATTTAATCACTAATCTCCCTCAAGCCATGCTATTACTTATAATAAACACCACCTCCTCCCGCCCTACATTTCACACACACATATACTCACAAGCTATACAGACATTAGTACTTTTCCTTTTTACTGCTATACTTCAAGTAATTTTAAAACATAATTGTACTTTTTACTCAAGTACTTTTTTCCCGCAGTACTTTTTACTCAAGTCGTTTCAGAATGAATTACTTCTACTTTTACTCAAAGCCAGAGTTAGGGAAGGGGCTAGGGCGAGGCCAGGGGTAGATTACTCTGAAAATATTTGTACACTTCATCAAAAATAAAAAAAAATCTTTGGAAAAATCCCAAAATCTTACTAAATACTTACAAGTACTTTATGCAATTTTTAGAGATTTCTTGGAAAAAGCCCAATAAAATCCTCAAAATTATTGCAATATTGAGAAATCCCATCAAATTTAAACATTTAAATCATGAATTGGCCTGAAAATGCCCTTCGTTGATTTACTTCATTTTAAAAATAATTCGACGGATTATATGTCGCAAAAAATGTCGGGAAAAGTTCGGCGAAAAAAATAAGGGAAAATATTTCGAAAAAATCAGCTGAAAAAAAACCCCAAATTTGGGGGGAAAATCCCAAAATCCCGAGAAAAATTACCGGAATTTTCTAATCCCAAAAATCTTCGTACGCTTTTTTCAGAGTAATTTACCCCTCGGGCTAGGGTGGAGCAAGGTTCGTATTGTATGAACCAATTAAATTAATTCACGAACAAATACACGTCAAAGTTCTATGTTTTCCTTCCGTGACCAAACAAATAAAACGTTACAGACGGTAATTATTAATATTATTCTTACTCAGTCATAAAATATTCCTATGCTCACTAAAAGCTCAGAATTTTCAAAATTTCATGAATTTTGATTCGTAAATATGACATTTAAATTCCGAAACAAATTCAATTTCTACTTATCATCAGGGCATACCCCTATACCCTCCCCCACCCTAGCAGTGTATAGTGGGAATAGCGAGCGCGGGGGAAGGGGGAACACGAGGAAGATACATCACTCTAGTTTTGTGTGCTTTATATTTTGTTAAATTAAAGTTTATGTTGCACGGGACTCAAGCATACAGGGACTGAGGGACAAAAGAAAAGTCAGAAGTTAGAAGAGTCAGCAATAACGCAAAGTCGAGCCTTCGTGCTAAGTTTTCTGTAGAAGCACTACAACTTTGCAAATTCGAAACCTCGAAAATTTACTTTTCAGAATACTTTTGTGATAGAGATACTAGAAGACCCTAAACTACCAATACTATTTATAATAACATAAAGTTGGCTCAAATTGTGCGAAATTTTCAGTTTAGTGGACATTTCAGAACTGCAGTTGCGCTGTGTTTTGATTCACCCTGTCCCTGTACAGGATTCAGTTTTTGAAGGAAGATTGCTTCAACCGCACTGAACGTAAAGAGAAGTCATGAGAGGGTCATCAAAACATGAGAACGTTTTCAGATTTCAATTTTCAAAACACTCGTACGTCAAGTTTGCTAAAATAACAAACTGATTTTATACCAACAGTGCTATACGGAGATTATTTTATTATATTTACAATACAATTCATTCATTGTTTAAATCATTATTTTTAGTATCTATAGCTACATCTAAAGACTAAATATATAACACTGACATATCGTATATTTCTATAGACTCTATAGGTTACCATAGGTATTGTTTTAACAATGCTTCTAGGACAAGTGGAGCCCATGTCAGTCATTAATAAAAGTGATAACCTTTCATAAATAGGTATTATACTTTGACCGTGCTCCAACACGAGTATGAGTGCAGCATGAACTGGATTGAATATCTATTGACAGTATTGACTATATATCGTTCTAACGAAGCCGGAATTCAGCATCTCTAAGGGGCGAACCATTAGAAAAGTGATGGGGAAAAAAAAAAATCGCGCAGGGGAAACAGAAAGAAAAAAATTCGTACACCATGAAAGTTTGCAAAAAAAATTCGTGCAGAGACTTTTCAATAGGGAAAATTATAAGTTGAAATAAAAAAAATTCGTGCAAGGGATTATATTTTTAAAAAATTATCGACACAAGCCAAAAAAATTTTAAAAAATATTCGTACAAGTTAAAAAAGTCCCCTAGCTCCCCATCACATTTCTAATTAATGGTCCGCCTCTAAATTGCATTAGTAGCCCTTGCAGTTCTGGGCGTGGTTTGACTAAAAGGTCAGGGATTTGGGCGTGGTTTGACTGATGACTTGATTTGGGCGTGGTTTGGATAATGACTTGATTTGGGCGTGGTTTACGCCGTTCGTCGGCCTAAAATGAAACCCCAGAAATGTTCAACATCTCATAGTATTGTCGAGATCCTATCTTTAAAGCTTTCACATATAAATATCAGTGGCGATCCTCATACTAGACATAGTAAAATTTTCGTTGTCTTTAATAATGCATAAACCACACGCAGTTCTTGCATTGACTTCTTATTTTTTATTCATTCTATCTTTATTGATAATTTAACTTTTAAACACCACTGCATGGCAAATACAATGTCGTGCATTAAGTCTGGTTCACATATATGCCTGCGACGTACCAGCGACGATGCCGGTGGTAGCTTTCAAACGTAAATTATGTGAACACATGTTCGCCGATGGCCTCCAGTGCCACAGTTGAGCTCAACTTTGCCGGTATTTAGGCGGCAAGTAGAGGCATAATGATACAGTCGCAGGCATATGTGAACCAGGCTTTACTTACATTTGGATAATATCATTCAATACAATACTACAGTATGTTTATACTACAGTATGTTTATACATAAAATGGATGTAAAAACCTCCCTATTAATACTGCAACACAAGTGAATGACAAAAAGTTTCAGTGATGTCATGCCTTAAAGTTATTTCTTCGCAATAAAGTCTTCACTTTGAACTGAATTCTCTTATGTTTCAGCAACACTGTCCTAAAATAAGAAAAAAAGGCTTTTTAAGCATTATCTCCTAAAAATAAATTTGTGATTGTATTTTGTCAAATTACTTTGTTTGCAGGCTAAAACTATAGTGGCTAAAATTGATCACATTAATTTTGACTGGTTGTATCACAGGCGACCCAATCTCGCAAGGGTCAGTATACAGTAGTATAGTATACTAATGTATATTATAGTAAAAATATGTCATAAAATATAAATTTTAAAATGAAATTGACTTGCCTATTTGATAGTGTGTGTTCTCCTTTTATTCCTCTTTTGTTGGACTAATATTTTGAGACTTTGTACTTGATGGTACTAATATACATATCATATAGTATGTATATTAGTACCATCAAGTACAAAGTCTCGGAAAATATTAGTCCAACAAAAGAGGAATAAAAGGAGAACACATACTATCAAATAGGCAAGTCAATTTCATTTTAAAATTTATATTTTATGACATATTGTTACTATGATATACATTTACTATACTGACCCTTGCGAGATTGGGGCACCTGTGGTTGTATTCCTGTAGTATTTAACCACTTAAGCAGCTACTGTAAGTGATGTATGGGGGGGGGGGAGGGGCGGTTATGTTTCCTTTACAGGGTCATCCATTGATTATATTTGCAAAAATCATTTGTACCTCCCTCTTCATCCTAGAAATGATGAAAAAGAAACAACAGGCATTTTATATACAAAAAGTAGTTAGTATACATACAATTACTAAATACAGATGACCACTACTCCAGTGTAACACCTTAAAAATTGGCAAGTTCGGAAAGTGTGACAAGCTTGACAGTTCTGGCCAGCCTCAGAATTCAAGTCACCATTCAGCAATGGTGCAATGTCAACCTGACTGCTGACCCATCATGTCAGCTAATTCTGAGGCCTGGAGAAAGGTTCCTTAAGTTTTGTTTTCTGATACTCTAAATACTAAAATATTGCAAGAATTATCAAAAACAGGGTAAGGTTGTCTGCCTTCCATGTTGATGTAAGCCATGCAGAAGATATTCAGGAAGACTTTTGGTATGCTGGCACACAACCACATTGAGGTTGGCACACAATACATCCCTGTGGAAAGTAAATCACTTTGGCTATACATCCTTGTTTCATGTATGTGACATACTGACATTAGTTAAAACATACAGTATCAATCACAAAAACAGGGCTCTATAGACTATAGCCAAGTATGTACTTTCCAGGAGTGTGTATTAATTAGCATTGTTCAACAGGGTCTGAAATTTGCAGTATCCCAATATCCACGGGATGCTAAAATTTGGCTTTGGATACGAAACTAGCTGTGAATGACTTATCCCAACTGGCTACTAAGAAAATTTCAAACATTGATATCTTTTGAATACTGTCTATGAGTTTGCCACGTACCCAATACAAGCCTTTCCTCATATAATGTGCATTTTTGTGTATTAATGAATTGTCTAGTTGTTGACAACTTGACTATTGAATCTCCTGTTGTTATTGTAATTTGTAACAGTGAGAGTTATTGGATGGGACAGGGTATAATACTTATGGTAACCAGTATCTAGAAGTGGGATACTGCATTCTCAGGGGGGATACTTTAAATCTTTGAATCCTGGTATCACAGTTGGATACTGAAAAGATATTTAAATTTCAGACCCTGTTCAAGGCCTCAAATAAGGTCAGAACTTTTCCTGGTGTACATGTATAGTTGCCTGGTCATTGGTATCTAATTCTCTAAATAGTTACTATCAGGCAATCAATTTATATCTCTGATGGTTTATATATGTCATAACATAACATAAGCATCACAAAATTAGTAATATTCCGAAGTTTCGTTGCAAAATGTTGTAAAATGCGGATGATATAGCCTTGCGAAGTTTGCCGTTTTTCAGTCATTTGGTATTACAAACGGGAAATTGATAATCAGATGATCAAACTGATGCAAAATGTTAGATTGTAATGCAACATGACTGAAAAACGGCAAACTTCGCAAGGCTATATTATCCGCATTTTACAACATTTCGCAACGAAACTTCAGAATAATACTAATTTTGTGATGCTCTTTCAAGCTGTGATGAAATTTTTGTTCAGACTTGTCTAGCTCAAAATTTCACTCAAAAGGGGAAAGGTCTACTAGATACTCAATAGTTGGAAGTCGAGGGGGGGGGGATTACAGATTACTAAAAAGTGACCTATAAGAATCAGCCTTTCAACATATAACCTAGTGTGGGAAATATGGTTTTAAAGAAAAAGTGACCTCGAAAATCCGGCCAAAAATTGTCCTGTAGGAGTTCAGATATTCAATGAGGGTGGGAAAGGGTATTTTCGTGAGCCGTGAATGGTCAATATTTGTTCGCGTGAAATGCATGATTTTAGTGTTGTGAAATGTGATTTGTTCTACAGCCGTGAGACGTATTGTTGATAAAAATATGCTCCGTGAAATGAGAATTAAGGATGTCTGTTTCGTGAACTGTGATTTTGCTTTGTTTATTTCGATCTATTTTATAATAGTCATAATTAATAAACATGATATGCAATAATCAATTTATATGATCTCACTCGATTGCACAAGCCAGTAAAAACTTCGGAGGCCTTTCGTAGGTCGTCGTACATGCTCGTCACTCCAACTTGTAAGTTATGATGTAGTTTTTAGCATTAAACATACTCTTAATAAACCTATTATTATTATATTAGAATCTGGTTTTCCGTGAAATTGCTTTTTTAAGACACGTGAATCGTGAAACGGCTTTTTTTTCGTTGTGAAACGTGATCCATACCCCCCCCCCCTTTCCCACCCTCTTCAATGAAAGTATGGAATGACCCGAATATTTGAGCTTATGGATATTGGAAAGGTTGGATAGTGGTTAAAGTCTGAAAATCTTGTCACAGGATACATGGGGCCCTAATCAATTATTTTTGCTAGTCGTCCAGTACATATCGCTTGATTCGATATTGTTGATATACCTCATGTTTGGTCTGTTCATCAGTTCCCAGAGCTCTCGCTTGTCTTCGCCTTCGTATATTGTGTGCGGTCATATATCCTGCGAATAACGTTGTACCAAATAAAAACAAGGATATGCTTCTCTGTAGATAATCAGCAAACTTCAGTGCAGCCATTGTTTTCAAACTTTTTGTATAATCTGAATGTGAATGAATGGAATGACCGTCTTGACCGATAAAAAACCTTCCAAGTTGTTCCAACTTCCAACCACCAACTCATGAGCATTTCTGTACGTCATGTTATGTGTAATATAGTGGACCCATGGACATACAGTTCAATATGGCTGCAGTTTTAACAAAGAATTTTCGTTTGTTATCTGCTTTTCCAAGACAATGCGGAGTGGTTTCTCGTTTTTTAAGTTCAGGTATATTGCACAATTCGTAGATTGTGTTATTTACTTTAATAATCCTGTGATAACAGTCAATTTAACATAAAATTTGTTTGAATTATTTTCTCTAGAACGTTCACAAGGAACAAAGGTAACAATTAATACATAACGGAAAGTTGCAATTATTAATACAGTGCCGTAGCAAGCTGGATAATTGAGGGGGCTCATATTCATATATCCGTGTTCACAGACCATAAAAACAATCGATTTCAAAAGAAATTTAATTAATAATGCAGAACACGAATATATGAATACGGCACTGTAATATTAAGACGATCATACTATATACAGTGTGTATCAAAATAATTCGAATCCAAATTTGACACACTGCTGTTTATAAAATACTAAAGTAAACCATACAATTTTTATATGGCAATAAAGAATAGCCTATTAGGTTTTCCGATTATATCGTTCTTATATCAATAAGATCAAAAATGACCAAGAAATCGTGTGTTAAAACTGGTTGCTCGAAATCAAATTTTTCCGCCGATGGGAATTCGAAGTGAGACGTACAAACAAAAGATAATGCAAATTTAATTAATCAACAAACTGTTATGTAGCAAAATTTACATAAATTCGTGTTCATTTAAAGAGATTTAAGCTCCTATGCCTTAAACATGTTGAACGAGAAGAAATTCGCGTTAAATTTGCATTTTAGTTTTCAGTGATGATTAGCATTTCAAAGCCTTGTGGGATTAACTTTGAAAGAAAAAATGTCCAATTCCCATCGGCGGAAAATTGTGATTTTTATGGACTTTTTTTGTCAAAGCAATACTCCTTCATTTTCCAACTAAATGACGCGTACAGCATGTCATTTGAAAGATAAATAAATGAACTTAACAATGGTGTAAAAACCAACCGAATTTGTCAAATATATTCTGCGTTATTACACGCCAAATTTGGATTCGAATTATTTTGATACACACTGTACAGGGTGTCCCAAAAAAACACGAAAACTATTGAAATCACCAATAACAATTTAATTGTTAGAATTTGAATGCCTTAGCGCTCTGTTGGTTCCCACGAGTGCATAAATGATTGGCATAAGTAAATTTTATGCATAAAGAAACAGTTTAAGAAACTGTTTTTAATTCCCAGGAGCAGAAAATCGCGCACTTTACCAGGAGATATTCCTAACTAAATTCTAATACATGCACCTTGTCAATATTTTACGCATCATTACGTCCAGCTGTTTGGTAAGGCATTCAAATTTAACAATAAGTGATTTCAATAGTTTTCGTTTTTTTGGGACACCCTGTAGAATACAGTGGCGGAAATTCACTTTTTCCGGTGGGAGGCAAAACCTCCTAAATTTCCGACAAAACTTTCAAACTCCCGACAAACCCCACCATTTGCACTTGAAAATGCTGTTTTTAGCCCTCTTGTAGGTCAAAAGTTCCGAAAATTCGACATTTTCCGTGAAGGTGGAGGGGCAGTCGACCCCCCACCAAGATTTCTGCCACTGATAGAATAGTATACAAATACTGAATATTTATGAGTGCAATGATAAAAGTATTTTCATAGTCAAACTCAATAATAAAATTGTTCAATAATTAATATGGGGAAAATCTAAAAAGTTGTTTATAAAACAATGCATTTGCCTGCTATGGTGACGTCACTCGCTGCGTACTAATAAGTTCTACCAGAACTGCAAAAATTCATTGTTATCTAAACATTTTTTTAAGATTTTTCCCATATTTAACAATTGTATTAAAAGTTTGACTATTTTAGTCAAATATTTAACACACCTAGCTATTGGGCTGCCTGTGGTGAATAGCTATATACTGCCACCAACGCAACAGAAATGAAAATATTTTTTACTATTGCACAAATTAAAACATTCATTATTTGTTTTATGTAACACCAATATAAATCAATGTTAGTGATTTTTTATTGATCAAATTGTAACAAATACATACCTGAGTGTAATGTTTAAAATTAATAGAAGTCCAACAAATAAATGGTATTCATGTCAACTGTCTTAGAAAATAATATTTTTAGTGATTTTACACCCACTATATTGCTTTGTGAACACATGTATATAATGATCAGAGTATACTGATATTGCCTTATTAATTGTTGGCATCCTTGTATACATGCAGTAATGTATTTCTAATTATTTTAAAGTTAAACTTTTAAATTGCTGCTGTGTGTATAGGATTTAGGTTTTTTTCTATTTCTATTTTTCTAAAAATATACTTAGATTTACATAGTGATGTAAATAGTAATGTAAAAGGAAGCTTTAGAATGGCACAATCAATGAGTAATTTGTATGCATGGATTTGGCGATTATTAGAGACATTATTTAAGGAAAATTAGGTGGAACTAAATGATTAGATAAAATGGTGACTGCCCATATTAACTTTATCTCAACTATAGGAAAGCTCAAAACTAAGAAGATGTATATGCATGTTTGTGATGTGACTGTTTTGCATTTTCGTGGGTGGAACATGACTGACTGGCAACGTCAGTTGAAATAATCACCACATGATGCCGTTTACAGCCATAAAGCAATAACTAAACAAGTCCAGATCTCATGCCAGTACTGTATGTTATTGCTAATAGTCCAGTGGAAATTAACCTGCCCTTACTGTATGTCGCACATTGATGACTTTTGTTCCTCGACGTTGCAAATGTTCCAGCCGCTTGATCAGCTCAACTGGCTGTGGCAACTAAACTTGGGTGGCGTAATTTAGCCCGAAATTGAGCGCACCATTGTTATAGGTATAATCAGGGTATAATGAGCGATGCATTCTTACATCTTGATCTCTGCTCTTCACACGAAAGTCTTGCATGGCATTAGCAAAATTAATTCATATTTAAAGCTTATGAGTTATGTCCAAATATATTGACTGGAAACCAGTCCGGGTAAAAACCTATGAGAAATTTGCATAAAACAATGATTGGAATCACTAAATTTATACATAACAAACAACCTAATAAAAATACGAGCACTGTAATTTAAGTCTGGTGTAAGGTTTTAAAAAATAAGTATTAAAAGTATAAATTTTAAAATAAAGAGTAAAGTATACAGGTAATGATGTTATGATGCATGTATTATAATACTTCGTTTTAGGAACCACAGACAATTGGTTTTATTGGTCTGGGTAATATGGGTGGTCCTATGGCAAAGAATCTACTAACAAATGGTCACAAGTTGCTGGTTAATGATGTTGTCAGCGCGTCTGTGAAAGAATTACAAAATGAAGGAGCTGATGTTGGTGATAACCCAGCGGATATTGCATCCAAGACATCCGTTATTATAACCATGTTGCCTTCTAGGTAAAAATATTTATAAACAAATGTATGACTATATACAGTATGTACTGTGGGAGCAATTCAACTTACCTATAATCCTTGAAAACTCAAACAAAACAGGCTGAACCCACTCAATCAAACACATTTTGTTGTTGTTTTTTTTTATTATATTTTAGTCCAAATGTGTCTGAAGTATATCTTGGCAAAAACGGAATTATTGAGTAAGGCTGTTTTTACTTTTTACTTTTTACTGCGACATTTTTCTTCATACTGTAAATGCCATTTGTTTATCTCGGTTACCTTTTCTCCAGAGCTGTTCAAGAAGGTTCATTGCTGATAGATAGCAGTACTATTAATCCCGAGGTTGCAAAAGAAGTAGCATCCAAAGCGGAAGAGAAAGGTGCCACATACTTGGACGCCCCTGTATCTGGAGGTACACTGAACTAGACGAAAGTCATGCGGCCCAACATTTTAACACTGTATTCTTTGCTTATTTCACTTTATTTGTTCCATTCTATAACTGAAAAATGATTTAATACTAACATCATTGCCCCAGGTGTCATTGCTTCACAAAATGGAACTTTATCATTTCTGGTTGGTGGAAGCAAGACGGGATTTGAAAGAGCAAAGCCAATTCTTGAGTGCATGGGCCAAAATATCTTCCATTGTGGTGAAACTGCAACAGGACAGGTAGAGAAGTGTCTTAACTCTTAAACTCATTCTGCAATCATCATTAGTGTCAAAGTTCAATTTTTCTGTTTGTCGATTGGTTAAATCCGTGTCACGTGCCGGTCCACAAAACGTCATGTTCGGCAACCGGTCCGCAATGAAACATTTATTGACCGGTCAATAATAAAATGGGTGCATTAGCAATACGCATGCGTGTCAACTGCGAAGTTCCAAAGTTCATTTTTTAAACTTTTTACTGAACATTTACGGCGTTCCATTTATCCAGTTTTGGTTTCAAATTAAGTTCACTCCAATAACCGATGAATTATACATACTTTGCCACTTATCCCCGAGCCAACGGCGCGGAGCGCCGTTCCGGGCCCGGGGCGAGAGTACTAATTCCGCCCGGCTATTTACACCCGGGGAAAGGGAAGCATTAGCGAAGTCTAAAGTTCATCAATGATCGCGGTCGCATGGTGTATGGGTGGTCATCTCACTGATCTCAAAATATGGCTGTTTGCCAGGAGTGAAGAAGGCAAAAATATAAAATATACATGTAAGAAAACTTGGAAAATCGTTTCACATAACAAATTGTAAAACTTTTTTCACTTTTTAAACGTAAACATTAATTAATAAGAATTGATTTAGTATGATAAATCTTAATATGGCAAGTTTGATTGAATTGTTTATGTATGACTTATACATATCGATCTTGTTCTTGTTGTTCAAGTCTTTCCTATGCGTTGTATGCGAAAGTTTCTTAGTTAAATTAACTTTTGTAGAAGTTTATGATAAAAAGGAAAGCAAATTATTTTCATTAGCGTCCTGTACGAATTAAATTTGTTTCATTTCAAAGTGCGAGTAATATTAAGTTGAAGCTCGAGTTGAAGAGTTTTATAGTATCGGCAAAACGCAGTTAATTTCAATTCACATTTAAAAACGTTTTACGTAGAGTTTCGTTTTGAATTTTACATTAAAATAAAGCTCATAGAAAACAAAATAATATGCCTACTTTAAATATTTTAGAAATTGGTAGTTCTGTGTTTAAAAGTGTTCAAGTTTCATCTATTTTTTGCATGTTTATGCAAAAAATTAAAAAAACAATTAGTTATCGTGTTGCCATGAGGCCCATGACACCATAGAGATTATAAATAACACTAGAGGAGGCATCGAGTTTAAAAATTGGGAACGCAGTTAATGGGGGGCAAATTCAAGTCCCGGATATAAAATCGTGCTCTCATTGGCTGATTTGAAACTCGTCACCAATGGGTGACTGAATTAAGATTACATTGCCTCCTCTAGTGTTATTTATAATCTCTATGCATGACACAGAATACTACACAGAAGTCCATCTCCGTTGCTTTTTGCGTAAGCTCTATTCGTCATGATTCGTCACTCAACAAGTACCGTAAACAGAAACAGTTTATATAAATATTTTATGCAGCCCTGACTTGCTGAGTGACGAATCATGACGAATAGAGCTTACGCAAAAAGCAATGGAGATGGACTTCTGTGTAGTATTCTGTGCCCATGACTAACATGACGTGAGCAACGCTAGCCTGCGTTCAGTGTTGGCGTAATAACGAATACTTCATGTTGAGAAAATGTTTGGAAAATATAGGCGAGGGGTTGTTGCATGCATGTATTTCTAGTATACTAGATAACAAAACACTTATTTACTGAGACCGAGGGAAACAGTGTGTTTTGTGGCCCCTCGACCGCCGTTGTTGCCTTCGGCTTCGCCTCGGGCAACAACGGCGGTCTCGGGTCCACAAAACACACTGTTTCCCTCGGTCTCAGTAAATAAGTGATAAATGTTACTCGACTGTTATTGCCTGCATGTTTCCAATACAGTTAATCCCAGTTAAAACATCAAAATGCAGTTAAAACATCACAGTGCAAAATTTTATTATCACAGTACAAAATCCTGTAACAAAGCAATTTACTATACGAAAACTGTGACTGTGACTGTGACAGGCTGCTCCAAAAAACGATTAGCATGCAGTCCATAAACCTGTGAAGTAGGAAACAAATTCGGAATACAAGTTCCATCTTGAAACTTACTCTTGCTCTACTTAAATATTAAGTTTCAAGACGGAACTTCTTCTGTTCGGAGTTTGTTTCCTACTTTGTTCAGTCCATATATTTTGCGTTTGTATTTTAATTAGGCAGTGAAAATATGCAATAACCTGCTATTGGCAATATCAATGATTGGTACATCAGAAGCTATGAATCTTGGTCAAAATCTAGGCTTGGATCCTAAACTACTTGCTGAAGTTATAAGCAAAAGTACAGGGCGGTGTTGGTCAAGTGATCTTTATAATCCATGTCCTGGTGTCTTAGAAAATGTTCCATCAAGTAATAATTATCAAGGTGGTTTTGGTACTGCATTGATGACCAAGGTAAAAAAAATATTGTTTGGGTTTAAAGTATCACTTCGTGTACAGGTACGAAAAGATATAAAATGTTCCCTTTGCATGCTACTATACATTCTGTGTTTGTAAATTGTACAATATATTGCTACATCATTGCGGAACGTGTATTAATACCTCTGCGACATTCTTTCCATATCTAGTAGTAAGTTGCCTAGTACAGTAGTAGTAAGTTGCCTAGTACAGTAGTAGTAAGTAGCCTAGTACAGTAGTAGTAAGTTGCCTAGTACAGTAGTAGTAAGTAGCCTAGTACAGTAGTAGTAAGTAGCCTAGTACAGTAGTAGTAAGTAGCCTAGTACAGTAGTAGTAAGTAGCCTAGTACAGTAGTAGTAAGTTAGCCTAGTACAGTAGTAGTAAGTAGCCTAGTACAGTAGTAGTAAGTAGCCTAGTACAGTAGTAGTAAGTAGCCTAGTACAGTAGTAGTAAGTAGCCTAGTACAGTAGTAGTAAGTTGCCTAGTACAGTAGTAGTAAGTTAGATATACTACTAGATATCTAGTAGTACGCCTGCAATATAAGTTTATAGTTGTTCTATGGTCAGTTCAAGATGATTTTGGTATACTATTAAATGAATTTTTCGTTGTCTTCGTTCAACGTTCACTTTGTCGCCGCGAGAATATTTTGGGATAAACGTAACCACCAAAGGCATTAATCTCTGTGTACTCGATAGAGCAATGGATAGAAACTAGAGTAGAACAGGATTCGTATAAATTTTTAACACATGCATGTTGCGATTTCATGCATACCTAGCTTTAGATTATATTGATTGAATACATGCAGGGTTCGTAGCGGTCTTTGATTTCCTTGAAAGTCTTTAAATTTGAATGCAGGTCTTTAAGGTCTTTGAAAAGTCTTTGAATTGTGTGAAAAAGGGAAGAAAGTCTTTAATAATTATGGGGTCCTGCTGCCTGAATTTTTTGTTCGCGAACCTATGATGCAACATCGGCTCTATCTTATTATGGTTTAATGCATATGCAACATGCCATATATCATTTTGAAGCTTATAACATGCTCTATACAAATATTATCACAGATGACCTCCCACGAAAAAACTTAAATGTATAACAACCTTGCAAACCAGAAAAGTGAATTTTTGACTGTCTATATTTAAAATCTATCTAGTCAAAATCTAAGCATCCAAACTTGATGAATTTAAGTTGAGTAATAGATTACATCCCTGTGAGCAAAATAATGGATGCTTTTTGTCTAACTCTCTATTTTGTTGCCATGCCAACAAGTATTAGGTAAGGATCTTGCTCATCAATACTAATTTTGGTGTAGAACATTCAATTTTGATCAGAGTGTAAAAAGCATCCATTAATTTGTGCAGAAACATCCAAAGAACAATCTCAGAAAAAATCAGCAAGATTGGTTAAATACTCTTTGAGAAGATAGGATTTAAGTAACGGCTGCTAGCCAAAGTACGGTTTTGGGGAAAACGCCATTTAAAGTTAGTAAACAATCTTGCTAGTGTTTTCTGATGTTTGGGTGATTGGTACCTGTCCAAAGTCAACGCTTATCATTGCAAGAATGCCACAGTCACTTTTCTTGATTTCTATTGGCAAATTGAGCCAATGGTACATCACCAGTGTCATTAGACTCATCATAATGAGCAAATCTGGCTAACGGATGGTCATCTTAATCATCAAAGTCATCTTCATCATCACCCACCGTACCAAGTGGCATATTCAGGAGAATCTTCACCAAGATCCTTCTTTGCTGATGTACACTCTGAGCACAGCTTCAACTCAAAAGCGAAATCAAGCACCTCGCCAGTTTTAACCGAGATGACAAAACCAAGCCCGATATTAGCTGTGTATCCTCGTTTGGACCACATACCGTCATAGCTCACCGCAATCTCTGCGACATCAGTTTCATCAGAGCGATCACTTTGTTTCTCGCCTTCTGTAACTGTTCCGTAACAGCTTTCTTGTGGGCCACACACAGTGCAGCAACATGTTGGTACCAAACTTTATGATGGCACGGGGGGGGGGGCATATTGAAAATATCACACATAACTGACATAGCCTCTCTTCCTACACCCATCACCATTCCTGAGTAAACCATATGCCTGTTTGTATCCATGGTATTTTGGGGTTTCTACACTTGGCTGTTGTTCCCAGAGGTTTGAAGCTGGATCTTGACGTCGCATTTGGAAGACTAGAGACATTGATCACTGACTCGTTACCTTTCATACTGTCATACAGAAGCAAGCACTGGTGTGCACGCTGTTGTTTGAATTTGATGTGTCAACATCCCATCGACTCTGGCCACAAAATTGCCACATTTTTATACTTTTGGCATTGCAAAGAAAATATAATCTCTAAGAGACTATTTTCAGATACCAACAAGCAACAAAATAAAATAAAATACAACCAAAGTGTGAATCTTTGATGTGTTTTCAGCTCGATATAGCAATGTTTTCGAACAGTGAAGAAAAATGGGCTATCCATTTAATATCCGTACCCCCCCCCCTGTCGAGGATCCCTGGAATTCTTCAGGGGTAAAGGGTTTTGAGCTTGGAATTCTTCAGGGGCAAAGTGTTTTGAGCTTGGAATTCTTCAGGGGTAAAGTGTTTTGAGTTTGGAATTCTTCAGGGGTAAATGGTTTTGAGCTTGGAATTCTTCAGGGGTAAAGGGTTTTGAGCTTGGAATTCTTCAGGGGTAAAGAGGTTTGAGATTGAAATTTTTCAGAGCTCAGTGGTAAAAGGTTTTGAGCTTGGAATTCTTCAGGGATAAAGAGTTTTGAGCTTGGAATTTTGGAATTCTTCAGGGGTAAACAGTTTTGAGCTTGGAATTCTTCTGGGGTATGACAATGAAAAACATGTATCCTCGACAGGGGGGTACGGATATTAAATGGAATAGCCCAATGTGGTCTAGAATAGCTATGCGGCCAGGCCTTAACTTGTTACCAGTCCCTCAGGTTGTGGATTTACATAATCAGCAAAAAAAATTAAAACCGCCCACAAACAACCAAGAAACAAGGCATAACAAATAAAATACACTAACCCGTTTCCATGGCAACGTGAAAAATGGTTGCCTACCCTTTCAAAAAGATGAAATTCTGTGAGAAAGCAAAGTTCTATCAGGCCTATTTTTGCTTTCACAGACATCTACACATACTAATGATGATTTTAAGACCAAAAAAAAATTTGAATTTTTAAAAATTCTTTTGGTAGCAGGACCCCTTATTAATTAAGAGTCTTTAAATTCTTTAGTGAGGAATTGACTATACGATTTCCTGGCTAATAAAATAGATTGATTGAAGCAAGATTTTCGCAAATATCGATGAAAAGGCGCATTTTAGGATGTGATTTGACTGGACTAATTACTGTGTAAAAATGGTGCTTACACTCGCAATTTTTCGACAGCTAATTGCTCTCAAAGGGCTTTGAAAAGTCTTTGAAAATAGGCAGAAAAAATCTTTGAAAGTCTTTGAATTGTTTTGGTCTTGGAGACTACGAACCCTGACATGTATATACCGATATCGCAGTAATGTATTTCTAATTATTTTAAAGTTAAACTTTATAAATTTCTGCTTTGTGTATAGGATTTAGGTTTGGCTCAAGAAGCAGCTACAGGCACAAAATCTGCCACACCTCTAGGATCAGTAGCTCATCAAATATACCGAATAATGTGCAACCGTGGGTATGGACATTTAGACTTCTCATCCGCTTACAAATTCATCAAAGAAGATGAGTGATTGAATTGTAATTATATTAGAGCCTGTGTACATGATCCTGGTTTGCCAAGATAGGACGCGGGGGATTTTGATGTGTTAAAATAACTCATTGTTCATGATTCAGCAAAACAGCGTTTTTTTCTTAGTAATGTCAGAATAATCACAGACGAATATGGTTTTTAAGCAGCTTTGACATAATCTTTCTAAACTATAGGATCTCAACAGCATTTCAGTTCCTTGAATTGCAGTGTAACTTTTCGCTTAGTGCGTTAGTTATTTCACCACATACAGTGTAAAATATCACGCCTCTATTACCGTCTCGCTTAGCCCAATCATGTAAACAGCCTATAGTCTTAGATATATTTACCCAACAATCATGTGTTGCACGATACTGGATATTACATATTATAGTCTCCGTTGTAGCTAACCTGACGGCATCCAGGGAATGTGATCTATAGAATTTACTGGTAAAGTGACCCTACTGTATTTAAGAAATTGACATAATCAATAAGACAATATATAATTGTAATAGACGTTCTGGGTTCTGTTCTGGAGGAACAGAATTCGAACAATATGCATGTATCATTTTATTCATTTACAGCTGAAACTTAACTTAATGTATTTCCAGATCTGTATTTGCAATCAAGTAATATATTTGACTCTGGAACTAAGATTTAAATCCATTAATCATCATTATAGCCGTATCGGCAGAGTGTCAGGAGTTGCCCAGTTCCTAGTCTCTTCTGAATTCCTCTCCATGCACCAAAGGACCTCGATTTCGTGATGAAGACCTTTGCTTCGGACATTTTTATATTTTTATTACGCACATTATATACAGCCGTTTCAAAAAAGGTTGTCCTTCAAAAACCTCAAACCTTAAACTCTGAGCGCGCAAGGTGTTATGGGTAACTTCTTATTTAAGACCTAAACGTGCGAATTTTGCATTGTAACTTATGGAAAGACCAATAATAAGCACTTAAGGTGGCTCCATACAGTTTCTTGAAAAGTGGAAAAGACACATTTCAGACGAAACTTTTTTGTACATTTATATTTTTATAGAAGAATGAAACTAGATGTCTTGTATAGAACAATATTTTGAGAATCAGAAACTGTAACGGAAAAGTCCGTAACTGTGGTTACTATGGCAACAATGATGTTTCAAAATGGCTGCTAATTTGCGTTTGAACTACTTTAATTCGAAAACAACGTCCGTGACCCCCAATTTCTATTTTATTAAAAGTTTTCTTCTAGTATGAGCAATCATTAGGCCAATTTTTAAAAATTTCTGTTTATCCAAAAATTTTTCAAATCGAAAAAACGTGTTTATTCCTAATTTTGGATCTACAGAATTTTTTAAAAATTGTCCTAATGATTGCCCATTCTAGAAGAAAACTTTTCATAAAATAAAAATTGGGGGTCACCGACGTTGTTTTCGAATTAAAGTAGTTCAAATGCAAATTAGCAGCCATTTTGAAATGTCATTGTTGCCATAGTAACCACAGTTACGGACTTTTCCATTACAGTTTCTGATTCTCAAATACAATCTTCTATAAAAATATCAATGTATAAAATTTTTTGGTCGGAAGTGTGTCTTTTCCACTTTTCAAGAAACTGGATGGAGCCAATATAAGGTCTACAACTAGCAGTGTACTAGGACTATTTGCCCAATCAAAAGCCCTTAAAAGAAGTTACCCATCACTCTTTGCGCGCTTAGAGTTTAAGGACAACCTTTTTTGAATTAGCTGTGTATATAGTTACATACTCAGTATTCCCACGGTATTCAAACGATATTCCAAGCCTGGAAAGTCCATGCATGAAAGTTTACATAGAGGTCTTTGAAAGTCCTGAATTTCTTGCAGGGAATATTCACCGAGACGAAGCCGAGGTACCATAAGCTTGCAAAAGAAGATATTCGACAGGATTGTTTAAAACACAACGAAAAATTATCAAACCACATGAACGCTCTTCACATAAGGCCATGTTGATTTCATGAGCTATGTGTAAAGCAATATACAAGAGTGAAAAACTAGAGTTTTAATGATGTTTCAATGTGAAAGTAATCATTTTCGAAATGGAATTATGACCATCCTCTTCGGAAATGAAACTTTCACCATTATCGTTTCAACTTACCCCAATATCTTTTTAAAACCACTAAAAGTCAAATTATAAATAAGTTGAGTTATTTTCAAGTATATATGCCGAGTATGGAAACAGCAAAATTTAAAGGCTTAATTTAGAAACTGACTTCTGTTTAAAACGATTTCTGTTTGAAATAAGACGAACTAGTAAAAACTATTTCTACACTTTGAAAGTCGGCCGGCGTTTCCGTAGTTTCCAATAACATTTTCGTTCAAAAATAATTTTCCTGTTAATACCGGATAACCGACTGTATAGTGATAGGTTTAACTAGAAAAAAACGTCTTGGTAAAAAATGTAAGTGAAATTAATTCACAATATCACGGAACATCTCTCTTGGCTAACGATTCTGGGGTTCCTTTGAAAAGGTTTTGGCATTACTGGAACACCTTGACTGACAATTTTATCAAATTGACCGCCGCATGCAGTCCACGCCATACTCAATCATGCAGGCAATTTTTTTGTATCTCACTCGATATAACCATAGATAATCCAGAAGACATTCTTGTGGATTGTCTATGATATAACTAATATTGTTGAAGGGATTTGTAGATGGAAAATTCCACTCGAAAGAGTTCCATCTACAATTCCCTTCAGCAACTCAATATCAGGCCTACCTGCAGACAAGCACAGAATCGTCCGAAACTGAGTCGATGATGTTTGAAGAATGGTGCCAAGTCAGTTCAACTACTGGTTGAAGACCTTATCCAAAGATATTCTGCTAAGGTTGTGCCCAGAGGGTTGTGCCCTGGATGTTTCGTTTACATCATTCCCACTATATCTCCTTACCGAAAAAACATCCACAGGTTTCCAAGGAATTCAATTGATCCATAAGACCAATAACAAGTATTGTTTTTCGGCCACGGCAATGCTACTGTTACGCTGCTGTTAAAGGTAATGGGGATCAGTTGGACAGTTGAATGATCCAGCATAGCCGAGACGATGGTTGGTTGCCGGCGCCGAGGTTGCAGGGATAATTTCCAAGTACGAGGAGAGTAGTATGCAAGCATGTACTGAAGACATCGGTCATATTTACTGGCACCATGAACAGCATCAAGGAGTGCAGGTAGCTTTCAAAATTGACGTGAAGTCTGTGATTGACGATGTGGGAATCCATTTCAAGATGAAACCCAAGATCTTGTTGTCTATGGAATTGTGCAGTTTCGACTGAGGAGAATTTAAATTAAAGTGGAAGAAATCAGCGAAGTACGTCATGGAAAGACTTGTTGATTGCACAGTCCTGAAACAGATCCAATCCCTAATCCATCTGCACAGAAATTCTATCTACACAAACCTTTCAACATTTAGTCCTATCGAGTGAGATGCCCGAAAAATCATGATATTCACCACAAGTAACCTTAGGGCACATGGTATCACTTTAGTATATATACATGAACTTGCGGTTATTAAAAGCTCGACAACTAGGCTGTTCAGTTGGTTAGAGCACTGCACCAGTATCGCAGGGCGCTGGTTCGATTCTTGGCAGATCGAGGGCCAAAAGTTGCATTTGGTTGCAACTGGTTCGGTCTAAAAATGTACTGATAAAATTTACATTCGAGAATCCTATCGAGTAAGATGCCTAAAAAATCCTAATATTTAAATACCCCTTAATTCAGCCTATGACAGGGGGGGACTGTCATCCAGATAAAGCGCATTTTTATTAAACAAGTGGCGTTGGCACCGTCCGTCAGTGCACCTCGGCTCCACGGTCTGTATAGACTCGGTTCAAGTCCGTCTCTCAAGGCCGCGGTACGAGATTGGTTTTTGTCAAACAAACGCCGAGCAAAGAAAAATTTTACGCAAGGTAAAGAGTAAATGGACATGCTGTTTTAAAACGGCAATGCATAACTATTCTTGTATATGATTATATGAAACGAAGAAAAATGAAACGAAATGCTTAAACTGTACGCGAGCGGTGAAAAAAGGCGCGAAAATATGAGAAACTGAGTAGGGCTGACTGCTGCTGTACATTGCTCTATTGCAGTATTTTTAGCTTTATTACTGTTTCTCTTGTATCAGTCGAGTCACAGTTAATAGAATGACTTGTAGTTGTATCACTTGTATGACCTGTAATTATACTGTAGATAGTACCAGATGTATACAGTACCTTGACTAAGCCCACGGTGTCTCTTAATTTTTAACTCCTATATTGCGAGATAACAATTCAGTCAATTCATGACAAGGTTTGTAATTGATATTTAGGGTTTTCGTTCGTACTCTAGGGTAGAAACGAGCTCCCAGTTTCAACGGCACAGTCGAACCTCGTGTTTCATTAGGCAAATTGACAGAAATTGTCAAAACAAAAACAACCCGGTCGTGTGCCGTAGAGAAGGCAACTGCTATCCTTGGCATGTAGAAATGATTGACCACTGTCAGAAAAGCCCATAAACGTTTGTTATAAAACCGCGCTCGAGTTGTGAAGAGAGCATTGAATATAATGCTTCAGTCACAATTGAAACCACGGGCCTGTGGGCGGATGGCGCATATGCTAATTACGGAATTTACGTTGGCACGATGACGTCATACCGACACGTTTCCCTATTCCCGCTTTTGTCTATTCTTGGTTTCGAAAAAATTTCCTATTATTCTAAAAGAGATTCCAGCATAATGTGCGTGTCCCTATGGCTGACGATTTATAAGTATAAAATATAAAGTTTCGCACGTAACTGTTGAACAAGTTTTTCGCCAGTCCCCGGTTGTCCCCGGTGTATTCATATATAGTGGCTGTTATATCCCGGGTCAATTCCCCGGTTATAAAAACATTTAGTTAATTCCACCGCCCTCCGGAGCATAGCATGTTGTTAAATAGCGCTAAATTTTGTTAATCCCCGCTATGTCCCAGGGGTGGGGGGTCCGTGGTTTCAAATGACTGAAGCATAAACAACACGAGAGCACTGCGAGAGTGCGAGTAACGATTTGCTTGGTTTCTTGACTTGACTGTTGGTAAAAATCTAAGAATGTTCTTGTAAGTTCAAAGCAAATGAAATAAACAAAAATTAGCAAGTATTTTGAACTTAATAATTCGCAAAATTTATGTTTTTAAAGATGCGGTACAGTCCGTATGTAAACAAAGGCTTTGTTTACATTTCGGTATCCAAAATATTGAATTTTATTCCACAACTATTTATATTTTCATGATTCTAGAGTATAATAAATTATGAAAAGACAACAATCAAGCTTTGCAAGAACATAAAATGAAATAAAAACCTAAATAAACTGTTTGTAAAGAAAAAGAGGGCTCCTTTGTGCACATGCGCAGATCGGACTGTACCGCATCTTTAACAGTTAAACATAATATCCCACGGGAAGCATGCTTACCCCCTCGGGCTTCCTCGGGCGCTAAATTTCGGCTAGTTCCTCGGGTAGAGGAGAACAGATCACGTGATCGGCTAGTTGTGTTGTTTGTCGCGTCAGATATAACCCAATCTCTAAGCCTAATCCTTAATCTAACCCTTACTGTTACCCTAACTCTAACCTCAACACTAATCACTATAACTAACTGATGACGTAATCTGTGATGCAAATTCTTCTACCCGAGGAAGTACCCTAAATTGGCTTCGGACGAGGCACGTGACCAGCCGATACGAGGTTGTTGTTTGGTAAATTTATATTACTAGAAGTTACTATCGCAAGGGAAGTGCTGCCTCAACCCGTCTTCCATCACACAAGCATGTAAGGCAACCCTAAGACACCAGCAGGGCCGTCCTCAGGAAATTCTTCAGGGGGGTGTATAATTCAATTCACCCGACTGGTTCAAAAAAATTTTTCCGGAACAAAATTTTTTGGTCGACCTTCCCCCCCCCCCCCCCGTCGCCAAAAAAATTTCGGTCAGTGTACCATTTTAGGGGTCCAAAAATTTTTCCGGACGTACAAAAATTTTCCGGAACATTCAAAAATTTTCCGGACATAACAAATTTTCAACATTTTTTTACATTTTTCCAAAATTTTTACATTTTTCCTCAAAATTTTCCTAAAATTCCCACCACGTTCTTGCCCTTTGCGCCAAAAATATTTAACCCAAATAGCAGTTCTACCGACTGAATAGCAGTCCTACCAACTGAATAGCAGTCCTGCCGACTGAATACAATTACTGGGGGGTGTCACACCCCCCCCCACACCCCCCCGTAGCTCCGGGCCTGGACACCAGTTCAGGAGTTAGGAAAAGTGCAATTTGAATAATACGAAAACACCTTGCACAAAGTCGAAGGTCAGCTAGATATTCTAATCATAAAGATTATAAATAACACTAGAAGAGGCATTGAGGTTAAAAATTTGGGAACACGTCTATTGGGGGAGAGGGGGGGGGGCAAATGTAGGTCCCGGATATAAAATCATGTTCTCACCAATGGGAACACAAGTACACACGCAGGAATTTGCCCCCAATAGCAGGATTCCTTTTTTGCCTAATGTCAAGATTGCGATGCCTCCTCTAGTATTAAATCCATAGATAGATTAAATCCTATTGACTTCCACAAATTCCTTACTCTTCAAGAAATTACTTCCTTGAAAATTCCTTCGTTCTAAAAAAAGGAAGGACTTTGTGAAAGTCTACAGGTCATGCTATGCACATTTTTAATGATTTGCATTATTCAGATAGATGCAGGTTTATTGGCATAGCATGACCAGTTGTCATGGCCACTGAATACTGTACAATATTGTCGTGTATTTAGATTATACTTTTAACAAAATATGAATAATACATAAGCATGGCCGATCTACATATCTAATGCGCATGTCCGTGCGTATGACCGCTGTCCGTCTATATCTATATATCTAACACCATCTCTCCTCTTAAGGAATGTATCATAAAATATTGTTCATGAGTTCACTATCGTGTTCGAACAATTATGCTAACCATAACAGTAAGTAATAAAGCAGTTCTCTATGTAGTTTTCTTAAACAGTTTTCGGATCAAACAGTTAAGACCCCACCTCTCGGGTGGTTGGTGTGATCTAGTTGGGTAGCGTTGTTCAGATCCTGTTGTAGCCCTACCGGCTTCTTGTTGTTGCACTACTGGTGGATTCGTGGCTAGTTCGATATCCGGCTCTGCGACAATTTCTTCTGCTAGTGCAATATTCTGGCCAGTTTCTCCGAGCTCTGGATGAGGTTCAGCCGTATTATCACTCTGGTCATTTACTTTCACACTCGAGGCTCGAAGCTGGTCGATGTGACGTCGCTAAATTCGATTTGGACCAACTTTTATCTCGTACGAAAGGGGTCCCGTTTGAGCTCGAACTATGCCTGGTAGCCACTTGTCTTTCCCACTGTAGTTACGTGCCATGACAGTCTGACCAATGGATAATTGACGTGTGGGGGAATGTCCTTTCCTCCCCGCTTGATCGATTTGCCTGTTCATCACTTTCCTTTGTAAATCAGGTTTCACCAAATCGAGGCGAGTCCGTAGCGGTCTGCCCAAAAACAACACGGACGGCGATTCTCCAGTCGTCGAATGCGGGGTATTCCGGTAAGCCAAAAGGAACTTTGCCATATTGGTTTTCAGCTGGGATGCACTTTGTTTCTCGCATTTCATAGCATGTTTGAAACTCTGAACAAAACGTTCCGCTTGACCGTTGGTTGCAGGGTGGAATGGGGCCGTGGTAATATGCTTGATACCATTAGTCTTCAAAAATAGTTGGAACTCTGCCGATGTAAATTGTGGCCCATTGTCGGTCACCACCTGTGCTGGCACTCCATATCGGGCAAAAATAGTTCGGAGTCGGTCAATGGTCTGCGTCGATGTGGTAGATGGCATTATTTCCACTTCAGGCCACTTCGAGTGTTCATCTACAATGATAAGGAACATTCGTCCTAGGAACGGCCCAGCAAAATCTAAATGGATTCTCTGCCAAGGTGTGGTTGGCCATTCCCAAGGGTGTAGTGGTACTTTGCCGGCTTCATTCTGTTGAAGTTGACAACCAGGGTAGCTCTTGGCTAGGTGCTCAATGTCCTTATCAATTTGGGGCCACCAGATGTAACTTCGCGCCAGAGACTTCATTTTAACAATACCGAGGTGACCTTCGTGAAGTTCGGTTAACACTTGATTACGCAACTTTGCAGGAATGACTGCTCTGTGTCCAAGCATTAGGACACCACAGTGAACTGTCAGTTCTTCTTTCCGCTGGTAAAACGGTTTAATCGCTTCATCTTGTGGAGTGGACCATCCTTTCATAACCAACTCATGGACCTTCACCAATAGAGGATCTCTCTGTGTTTCTCGTTTGACCTGTTCTGCTGTGACTGGCAAAGGCTCAAACTGCGTGGCATAGAAGAGGCCCACTGGATCTGGCTCTTCTTCTGTTGTCTCACTATGCAAGGGTAATCGAGACAAACCATCCGCATTCCCGTGTAACTTAGTGTTCTTGTATCTAATTGTATAGTCAAAACCCGCCAAGAACAAAGCGTAGCGTTGTAATCTAGCAGCAGTGACAACAGGAAGGCTTTTGCTGGGATGAAAAATTGAAGTGAGAGGCCCATGATCAGTCAGTAAGGTAAAGTTCCTACCGAAAAGGTAATTGTGGAATTTCTTGACTCCCCACACTGTAGCTAGTGCGTCTTTATCTATCTGTGCGTAGTTGCGCTCCGCCTTCGACAGGGATCTTGATGCAAACGCTATCGGGCGCTCTGTGCCGTCTGTCATGACATGGGACAGTACCGCTCCAATTCCTACAGGTGAAGCATCACAAGCCAGTTGTAAGGGAAGGTCAGGATCATAATGTGTAAGCACCAGATCTGAAACAATCATTGCTTTAACTTTGCAAAAGGCTTCTTCGCATTGATCTGTCCAGTTCCATTGGTAGTTACTTTCCAGCATTTGGTTCAAAGGATGCAGGATTGTAGCAAGGTTTGGCAGGAATTTGTTGTAATAGTTCACCAATCCCAGGAAGGAGCGTACCTCTGCAACACTCTGGGTGCGAGGGGCATTCACCATTGCAGCTGTCTTGTCGGTGGTCTTGTGCAGGCCTTCACTATTAATGTCGTGGCCACAGAACGTGATCGTTTCTTTGAAGAACTCACACTTCGATTTATTGGCTCTTAACCCATGGTGGTGCAGCCGTCGAAGGACCTCCTCCAGGTTAGCCATATGCTCTGCGTCGCTTTTACCCGTCACAATCATATCATCTAGGATACAACTAATACCAGAAGTTCCTTCCAGAATCTGATCCATGGTACGCTGCCAAATGGCGGGAGCTGAGGTAATACCAAACACCAATCGATTGTATTGAAACAAGCCCATAGACGTATTAATTGTAAGGTACTTCTTGGATCTTCCTCCAGCTCAATCTGATGGTAAGCTTGGCGGAGGTCGATCTTGGAAAACTTTTTCCCACCAGCTAAATGGGCAAAGATATCTTCGATTCGAGGCAGAGGATACTGTTCTACTTGTAGTATTGGGTTAATAGTACCTTTGAAGTCACCACAAATACGGACTGAACCATCTTGTTTCGCCACTGGTACAATCGGTGTCGCCCAATCACTCCACTCTACTTTCGACAAAATACCTTCGCTCTGAAATCTCTTCAGTTCTTCCTCCACTTTCGGTCGTAAGGAATATGGGACCTGGCGAGCTTTGCGAAACTGTGGTTGACTACCTTCTTTGAGGGTTATCCTTGCTTTGGCAGACTTGAAAGTTCCCAGCTTGTCTTCAAAAACCTCTGCATACGTATCCAATAGGTTTTTCAGCTTCTCTTGTGTAGTCGTGCCAGGGTTTCTATGGCTGAAATCTGAGGATTTCAACAACTTAATGGTTTTCCAGTCGAGGCGAAGCTTGTGAAGCCAATCTCGACCCATTAACACTGGACCCTTAGTCTGGACTACATGGAATGGCAATTGACATGATTGATCTAAGTATTCAACTTGCATGGTAAGGAAACCAACTGGAACGATCAGTTCACCAGTATAGGTCTTTAGTACGGTGGTTGTTTTCTCTAACTTCTTGTCGCGAAATCTTTCCAAGAACATGTCATATGGCAAAATGGACACGGCCGATCCTGTGTCTAGTTCCATGGATAGTGGTTGATTTTCAACTTTCACGTCAACCCATATGACATCACTGTTTGATTTGTTTACACTATGAACTTCTAGGTTATTCAACAAGTGTTCATACTCATCTGGTTCGGTCTCTATGGCATTGGTCGATTTCTGGTATCTTGATCTGGGCGAGGGTCTACCGGGCCCCTGGCTTTGTTGTGCCCGGCAAGCTCTTTGAATATGACCTCTCTTTCCACACTTGTGACAGACTTCTTTCTTAAATCTACACTCAGTTGTAACATGGGTATTAGCTCCACATCGATAACACACTACAGGGGAAGATGGGCCACTATCTGATCTATTCGAGGGTCTGTTCAGTGTCAGTTTGTCAAGACCAAGAGGTTTTTCTTCTCTTCCCTTGCTGTGGATCTCTGTAGCATCTCGAGTGGCTGTTTCCATAGCAACTGCTATGTCAACAGCTTTGGAGAATTTTAATTTTGACTCTGCAAGGAGACGTTTCTGAATTTGCTGATTACTTAATCCACACACCAATCTGTCGCGCAAGGTTTCTTCCAAGTTATTTCCAAAATTGCAATGTGTGGTTAATTTCTTTAACTCAGCTATATAACTTAAAATGCTCTCCCCTTCTTGCTGATTTCTCTTATAAAAACGAAACCGTTCGGCAATTTCTAGTGGTTTAGGATTTAAATGCTTCTGTAATGTACTTACTATTTCATCAAAGTTCTTGTCTGCAGGCTTTTCTGGCAAAAGTAAATCCTTTAATAATGAATACGTTTTGCTTCCAATCAAACTCAGCAGAGTTGGCACTTGATGATTGTCGTCGACATCGTTTGCAGCGAAAAAATGTTGTACTCGTTCGACATACGTCTCCCAGCTTTCTTGGGTTTCATCAAAAACATCAATTTTTCCAATCGTCGTCATTTCTGGACTTATAACAATCCCAAATTCGTCGCCACTGTCGTGTATTTAGATTATACTTTTAACAAAATATGAATAATACATAAGCATGGCCGATCTACATATCTAATGCGCATGTCCGTGCGTATGACCGCTGTCCGTCTATATCTATATATCTAACAAATATCATGTATAACAAACAATAATAATATTAATACTTGAATGAATCATTGGATATGTAAAATTTAATTACAACTTCATACATAGAAATACTACCAGTAAGGGCCTGTTCATATGGGCAAAAGTTATCTGTGTTAGCGAGAAAACTTTTCAACAAGTTTACAAGCGAGATCTCACCTTGGTACACAGGCGGCCCAATCTTACCCTGTGTTATTAATTACGTTATATCTTCATAGAAGATTGGCGTTGATAAGATGATTGGCGTTGATTGGCGTTGATAAGAGGTTAACGGCCATAGTTTGGGGTTGACATGATGATTAACAGCAAGAAATAATACAAGGCTGGTCACTTTGACCGTTATTTGGACTAATTGGGACAAGCGCTGACAGAAATCAATCGAATAACGCGAACTTCGGCTGTCCCATCGTCGCCAAATTACGTTACATCGGAAGAGCGATAATTTTTACATAATATACTTTTCTTTAACAGAATTGAACAATATCTTCCTGCAGAAAATGCCGAATTGAAACTTACAAATGTCTAATCTTCCGAGGTTTGTGACCGGTATGAATTCATGGCCTTCAAAGTTCAAATTCGAATTACACGCTGCATTGTCATTGGTCGGCTTTCGAAACAACAACAGGACATTCGCAGAGGCCATTCGCTAAAGGCTGGTTTCCACTGTTGCGTTTTTCATACGTACGTATACGCACGTAAAACTTTAAATCCGTTTAAATGTTACTTATGAAATAACCAAATAAATAAAGCAACAGAATTTAGTGTTCCGCAAGTTTTAGTATGCATTTGTTAACTTATTTGTAAAATATTTAAAAAATAGAAGGATTCAAAGTTTTACGTGCGTGTACGTGCGTACGAAAAACGCAAGTTTTTTAGGTTTAGATATAGGTAATGTATGGAAGCCCAGGAGGCTCAGATCAACTTTTTATTTTAGTGTTTCAACTTTTCACTTTAGTGTTTTAACTTTTTATTTTTGTGTTTCAACTTTTCATTTTTGTGTTTCAACTTTTCATTTTTGTGTTTCAACTTTTCATTTTTGTGTTTCAACTTTTCATTTTTGTGTTTTAACTTTTTATTTTTGTGTTTCAACTTTTCACTTTAGTGTTTCAACTTTTTATTTTTGTGTTTCAACTTTTCATTTTTGTGTTTCAACTTTTCATTTTTGTGTTTCAACTTTTCATTTTTGTGTTTCAACTTTTCATTTTTGTGTTTCAACTTTTCATTTTTGTGTTTTAACTTTTTATTTTTCGTGTTTTAACTTTTCACTTTAGTGTTTCAACTTTTCATTTTTGCGTTTCAACTTTTTATTTTTCGTGTTTTAACTTTTTATTTTTATTTTTTATGTTTGTTTTTTTTCAAAATTTTTAAGATCATTTTTGCAATTTGCACAAAATGTTTTTTAAAAAATTGTTTTTGAAATATATTTTTTGGTGAGCATAGACCATGATGCATTTCGGGGTAAACAATATGGCGGATTTACCAGAAGATGTTTCTGACGGTAACTAATATGGCAAATAATTGAAAACATGTATATTTTGTGCAGTAAAAGTCTTATTATTAACCTATTTACCAAATATTGTAGATATGTATGATAGAATTAAAGAAATGGTGGCAAAATTAAAATCGAACGCTACGATTTTGCTATACCTGGAAAGAGAGTTTGGTTGTAGTTGGAGGTTAGCGACTTGATTACCAGCTAATTCTGCTTATTATGATATAAATATACTGTGCGATTTTGAAAATTAAAGTGAAAAAATTAAATTAAATTACACAATACACTTTAATTCCACTTCAGCATTTTGTCATCATGTGAGTGACGAATCATGACGAATAGCGCTTACGCAAAAAACAATGGAGATGGACTTCTGTGTAGTTATGGTATGCTCATCGAAAAAATTATTTCAAAAAATAAATTTTGTGTTTGAAAGAAAAAACAAACAAAAAAATACAAAGGTGAAACACAAAAAATAAAAAGTTCAAACACGAAAAATAAAAAGTTGAAACGCAAAAATAAAAAGTTGAAAAACAAAAAATAAAAAGTTAAAACAGAAAAAATACAAAGTGGAAACACAAAGAATAAAAAAGTTGAAACAGAAAAAATAAAAAGTTGAAACGCAAAAATAAAAAAGTTGAAACAGAAAAAATAAAAAGTTGAAACAGAAAAAATAAAAAGTTGAAACGCAAAAAATAAAAAGTTGAAACACGAAAAATAAAAAGTTGAAATGCAAAAAATAAAAAGTTGAAACGCAAAAATAAAAAGTTAAAACACAAAAATGAAAAGTTGAAACACAAAAATGAAAAGTTGAAACACTAAAGTGAAAAGTTAAAACACAAAAATGAAAAGTTGAAACACTAAAATGAAAAGTTGAACTAAGCCTCCTGGGCTTCCATAATAATGGACTAACTTAGATTTTGATTAGCAATTAATCACGAACGTGTCATTTTAAAAATGAGCTCAGGGCTGGTTTACAAGACGTTTATGATAATTATGCATACGCAGGTATTTTATTGAAGTTCAATTCATCAACTTAAGTCCTAAAGAGTACAGGGAGTTAATTTTCAATAGTTTTAGACCCAATTCTCAACGGTGGAAATATGCACTTTCGGTGGAAATATGCACTTTGACATTATATGGTTCTTACAACTATTCAAGTCTTCATTATATGGAACGATTTCATTAGACTGCACACATTTCAAAACGGAAAGCGGTCGCAAAATGTCGATCGCCCCACAAGTTGCGAAATGCAAATCTACCTTAAATACCGGGTGTCTCCCCAAAAACCTGGAAACTATTTGATTTCATGAAACGTAAAAGCTATAAAAGCGATAATGCATTCAGAAATGACCAACTTCGATTTTGATACTATATAGCACTTGAATTTACATGCAATAATCCAATATTGACTGCGCTATTGATGTTTGAACGTTGAACTACTGTTTTTGAAAATGCAAAAAATTAGCATAAAACAACACTTATAATTATAATTACTGATGTAGTTACAATTGTTAATTTTTATGCACAAGTTGCTCTAACTTCGAACAGCTAACAGTTGACTTCAAATTACGATTTGAAGTTTGCCGTTAGCGGTTAGCAGTTTGCCGTAAACGTCAATCTTAAAGTCCCTAATATATATAATACGTCGGCTGGAATAAAACGTATTGTAACTCGTTTACATCTTTCAAACGTTGGGGCTTAACTCGAAGAACAAAATGTTTGACTTTGTTCGAGTTAAG